ACACACACACACACACATCTTCCTGCTAAAACATCTCTTTGTCCTTCAGAGGACACCATACTCCCAACTCAGATGACCCTGGTGGTGACCTCCACTCCAGCCACTGAGGCGAGCACCATGACGGCCACGTCAGGGACAGGTACGACCTTTGACCTTTGATTGGAATATTTGTCACATGATTCACAGGAATCATTATTAAATTATTATTAAATCTTCTTCTGCTCAGAGAATCCAACCACTGATCCACCTGACGACGGGAACACGCCCATTCTGATTGGCTGCCTGGTGACCATCATCCTGCTGTTGGTCATCATCATCTTCCTCATCCTCTGGTGTCAGTACGTCTGCAAGGTGCTGGAGAAGGTGAGGAGTCCTCATATCAGGTTTCCCTCTCGTGACGTTAGAGTGTGTGTCTGTAAAGTTTATCACAGAACAAAAGTGTAGACGTCCTGAGACGACTGAGATAAACTGTGAGATTGAACACGTTCACCTCTGGGATTAGTTTTCTGTCTTTAGTCGAGAGTTTAGATTCATTCATGAAGGAGGCGTGGTTCCAGATTTTATGAATTCAGGTCAAAACTAAACCAAACGTTGGATGTGTCAAAGAGAATCAGATGAATAAAAACCCTCAGGATTTATTCTCATTAATATGAAGTCCATGTCTTGTTCTTTCTTTGGAGCTTAAAGAAATGTTAGGTTGAATTCTGTGTCTTGTTCCAGGCTCCACGTCGGATCCTGGACGAGGAGGTGACGGTTCGACTGTCATCCTGCAGCGACACCATCATCCTACAGACCCCCCCGGTGCCCCCCCGCTCTGGACACAGCCCTGCAGGTATAACAGCAGATACTGATGTTTCTCTTCAGCTGCTTTCAGACAAGAACTGAACTTATCTGAGTCCTCATCAAGGAAAATGAGGCATCAACCATCTGCCTCCACCTGGGTCTGTCCTGTGCCACGTGTCAGACCTGTCTCTCTCAGCTCAGCCTTCACAGATCGCCACCATGTTGTTTCGTGTCGACCGTCTTTGTATTTTCCTGGTGGTGTCCATCGACGGTTTTTGATATGTGGTTCTGGTCCATTCTAAGGACATGCTACACCCAAGTTCACATGTTGCTCACATGTTCTGCAGGTTCTGTATGTCAGAACAAATGTCAGAGTCAGTGTCTCTGGACATTTTCTGGATCTTCTCCTGCAGCCTCTAGTAAAACATCTCTAAAATGTCAGAGTGAGTCCGTGTGAGAAAACATCTGGAACCTTCCTAGTGAGCGAGTGGGCGTGTCTCTGAGGTTTCTAACACGTGACGGACGTGAAACTGAAGAACACAAACGTCTCAGGATGAAGAAGAGGAGCCGTACACGTAGAAGACGAAGACGTCCACTTGGAAAGACGAGGAGGTTCCAGATGTTTTGGTGATGAGGGCCGACGCCGGCGTGGACGAGCTGTAAACACTCGTCTCGTCTGAATGTCCCCACATGTTCCTGTTGTTGTGAACGAGTCGAC